GTCTCGAAAATATTGTTTCAAAAGATCAAGTTTGTAAAACTAGTATTTGTTAGTATAAAAAAAAAAATCATACTAATGAAGTTTAGTAGTTGCACTGTAATTTTTAGAGAATCTTATAGCTGCCAACAGATAAGATTTATTTAAAACCCAACACCTTATCTGTCAGTTGCAATTGTCAGAAGAAAACAGTAAAATTATTTATCGCTTTTGTAAGACTTTCTATTTAAATAGCGAGTCATTCATCATAATCGTATGCCTTATAAACTTTTGAAAAAAAATTAAGTTTATCAACAAATAGATGGATGTTTCAGGGCCTTCGCAAGGTAATAAATTTCTTCAGCCGATCAAAACCATATGTGTTCTTGGTGGTTCTAGACTGGTAAGTTTTTCTCAAAATGTTGATATTGTGAGTCAGTTAGTAAGGGATATGGGAAATCAAAAAATCACTTTACTGTATGGAGGGACTAGCATCACTTTCTTTGAGAATCTTTTATTGGCTGGAAAATGTTTTGAGATAGAAGTGAAAAGTATCATACCTTTTCATAGAGCTTCAACAAGGGTCGTCAAGGATTCCATATGCATGATGCGAACACATTCTATTCAATCAAGGATATGGCGAGCGATGCATTTATCATTCTTCCAGGCGGTTATGGAATGCTAATGACAATGTTCATCCTTGCTTCTTGGGCAGAATTGAAACTTCATAACAAGCCCATAGGTCTATTGAATTTTAATAACTTTTTTTTCTGGTTTGCTTGGATTGTTAGACCAAGGAGTATATCAAACTTTTATATCTCCTACAACAAGAGAAGTATTCAAATTTGCAGATACGTCTGGTGAGCTTATCAAAAAGCTCCAAGAATGCATCACATTTCAAGATTATGTGGAAACACAAGGGGTCAAACGAAAAAGAGCTTTTGATCCTTTAGATCTCTCATTATGAACCCAGATAACAATAATGGGTGGCAGAGTTACGGAGTTTTATACTCTCGAGACGCACCCTTCTTTTATGGGTTCTATTATGTAGTATTTGCGTATTTCGTATTTATCGAGTATGCACTGCCTCTTTTTATATCTCCATCATATGAACTTTATGTACTCGTTTCTCATTAATAAATTTCGCTTTTCCACAAGAAGTGTGTAGTGCTTCATGACCACAATTATTGTCATGTGTGCTTCTTTTGAAGTACATCATTGTAATATCTATATGATCATCTCATATTATCAATGTGATCTTGTCATCAGATATCTTTCCTTAGACTCATACAATATATCATTTCGTGTAATCACCCATAACTAGTAGCTTTTGATACCACTTTCTCAAATTGATCAATTTTTAATTATAGCTTCTGGTACCACTTCATCATTTTAATCTATCATAACGTGGTAGCTTCAAGTATCACTATACCACAATATCATCATTATGTGGTAGCTTTTGGTATCATATGGTAACTTCTGGTACCATCTTATAAATTTTCGTTACTCCGTAAAATTTGGAGAATTCATCAACTATTTTTCAGGATCATGTTAGTCCATATAATTTCCTTTCACGATCAGGACTTTATTCACCTTTTATATGGCCAGATACAAAGTATCATTCATTTCATTCATTTGTTATCACTTATTGGTACTATCCGTCGCCGGCGGCAGAGCCGCACTGGCCGACCCATGCATATAGTCATTCATATCATTTGTTGCATGTGGTTTTAATACATGGCCATTCCACATCATCGGCTATCATTAATACACTGACCGATCCATTTAGCCGTTCAATATTAATTTGTTACTGGCGGCTGCAACACTTGGTCATTCATAATATTTTGATTAACAATTGACCCGTCGACTACCATAAATATTACTTGCCGGCGGCAGAGCCGCACTGGCCGATCCTCGTAGCCACATACTTATTTTTTTATATCACGAGGGTCAATCCATAATATCTACATCTTAATGTATCCAAAATTACAATAGTCAATCCATAAATATGAACATGCTCATGTATCAAATAATTTTCACAATAACAAAAGTCAAGCATTTTAAATTATATAATATAATAAACCATATCAATATTGGTCTTAAAATGAAGCTCTCATTAAATAGAGTGATATGCATTTAATAGAAACATTTTTCAATATTTCTTGTCTTCATTATATTTGGAAAATCATGATTTATAGTTAAATGATGAAGTAAATATATATATCATAACAATATCATTTAAATAATGTATGAGAAGTAAATGTTTGTATTGGAAGTTGGATGATATTCACGGATAGATCAAATCACGTGAACTGCCAGCTCATAGTCAGCTCATTCAAGTTGATCCAATTAATATGCTATACAGTTAACCACTCATTATATATGAAAACTTTTAATATTTAAATATTTAAATAGACCAAATAAATGATTATTTACCCAACCCATGTCATCTTAGTTTATCTGGAGGTGGGTGGTGAGAGGAACCTGTTGGAGCTAATTCATACGATGCCTCACTGTAGATGTTGCAGTTCTTTTTTATCTGAAGCATTTGTGTCATGTTGATCCAAGGAAGGTCCACCTGATTTTTGTATAGGCTGCAGAGGCACGTTAGCTGGGTCGTCCGACTTGTCGTATGGTGGAGCAGCATGTGCTCGATGTGTGGAGATCAATGAATCCGTGCAGGGGACAAGATATGTGGCGTCTCCCATATGCTCTGTCGCAGGTTCGGTGGTTTAAGCCAAAGTCAAGATCGTGAGGACTGCCCCCATTTGGGGAGGAGATATCTCTTTCATTTATTTATTATTATTTCTCTCTTTTTTTGCTTTGGTTTAAAGTATTAGTGGATTAGAAGAGATGGAAGATTCAAACGGCTGGAGCATATTGTTGCTTTCATTTTTCCTTGAGAGATTTTCGTAAGGATCACAAGAAAATAACGAGTTGTAATAATTCAATTTCTGATACAGAAGATCGTCTTATAGACGCAACTGTAGAGCATACTCTCGTTTTATTACAAATCGAGCTCTAGAGGACAGAGACTCGTGCTGATAACGTGTTATAAAACTAGAGATAAAGAGAGAGAATAGAGAAAATGTTTCTCTTAGGTACAATTTTCATTATAACTGAAGCTCCTATTTATAGAAAACTTCTGATGGCATAACCGTAATAATACAATTACATCGGGGGCAAAATAGTCATTCACATACATAAAATTAATGGTGGTGGACCATATATATTTATAACAAATTTCAGAAATACTCCCACAAGGAGTCAAAAATACTTCAACAAGGAGTTACAGTAATTCAAAATTCTAACTGCCATCTTTCTCTCTCTTTCTTCTCACTCCCACACTTCTCATCAACGTTTTTTTTTCTCTCTTCTTCAATTATCTTCTTCTTCTTCTTCAGTTCTTCTTCTTTATGAATTCCTAAAGAAAAAAAAAATATTAATCAGTAGGTTATGTACATAATAATTAAATCAGATTAAAAGAAAAATAATTAAAAAACTAATACACATAAAAAACAATAATAACAAATAAAAAATTATAATAATTAAAGTGCCTAAACAAGTTGGTAGACACAAACCAGTCAAAAACAATATAACATTTTCAAGCAACATAAAAATAACGTAAAAGCAACACAAAAATAGCATAAAAACAACATAAAAACGGGTGCCCACAAACTCGGTAACTTGTTCTCCATAAATAAAATTACCAACATATTCCCATAAAACAAACAATTCGCCTCATACTAAGAACTCCAAATGAAATGAACATATACGAAAAATCATACTTCAAAAACTAATCAACAAGGAAATCTCGAGTTTCTTCAGAAATCGACGAAACATAGGGTTCAATCGGCTCCACAAAATTTAAATCGAAACTTGAAGCAATATTAATCGAACTCAAATCCTTACCTTTTTTCCAAAAATTGGAAATCGAAAGTCTGCACGAGCGATGGATTTTTCTATAAATTTTGCCTTATCTGGCTGTTTGTTCGAGAGAAGAAGAGGAGAGAAA